CGAATCGGCTCACTGTTCGCGTAACCGAGTCAAAAGTCGACACTGGTCGTCCAACCCGGCCAATCGCCGTTGCGAATAAGTTGTAGCAGCCATCAACATGTGTCGCCGACCATTAGCTGGAGGACTAAAAGAGATGGTAGTTTTCTCAAACCCAGCGCCGACAGCCACCTCCCATTGTATTAATTGTTCTGAAGCAAAGTCATTATTGCTATAGCCCACAAAGTTTTTTTTTTTTGACTTATCAGGCTACCATTAGCACCAAACAACTACTATTGCTTGGCACTAACCTCCTGGATGCCCCATCTTCGCCAGCGGCCAACCCCTATCAACTGTTTGCCGACTCAGCTGTCTCGCTGACCTCAACTCAAGTTACCTTCTTGCCCCTCACATCCACTATAAAAAGGAGAATCACTGCATGAGATAACTCTCTCCGGTCTTTTTTACATAACTAAGAGCTAACCTTAAGTTTCCCCACTCAAAATCATATACTGACTTGATTGTCAGCGGAACAACCGGAGAACCCAACTCTACCCACTTACGAATTCTTTCTTGTGCAAGGAAGAGGAGTAAATCCGAGAACCATATATCAGAAAGAGTTAGTAGACCTTAATCACTCCGCAAACTTGCAAATTATTCCCTATTTGATATCTAACGTCAACACAAAAGCTATCGCTGAAATACATCATCTCATTAGTAATTCGGCATTAGTCGCATTATGGACGAACTACAACCATGGACTAGAGGGTGAATAGTTTGGATCAAAAGTTATGCTGTCTTACCTGTCTTTTCATAGATTCAAATTCTCTACGCAACAAATTGACTAGCTTAATTTAATCTCCAGCGTCTATTTAGTCATAGACGACGAGTGTCATTCTTCCAGGATAATACATTCGGCGTACTAAACGAGAAAATGTAGAACAAGTCGTAACCATCAACAAAATCATACATGATGAATTTTAAAAAGGGTAACTTTGTTCGTAGTTGAGAGGTTAGGCTTAATTTATTTTTTAAGCATCATGACTTGCAAAAAGTAATTAAAATAAACTTCCAATATTTCCGTACAGTCACCATCACGCACGTGATATCTTCTCAATAATAGAAAGTGGTTCAAAACCTCGGTCAAATTTCATGTTCCCTCGCCTCAATAACAGCGAGGCCCATTCATTAGCTTTATTATACAGAGTTAAGCACTTATATAAATTTAAAGTGGATAGGAGTTTTTTATCTATTAATTTTAGATTGAAAAATAGTATTTAATGTGTACTATAAACGTCAAAACATAACGAAGATATAAAAAGAAATCTTGTCCACATTTTTAGAGCTTTACTCCTATTATATATACCAACACAGTTCACCTCAGTACTTTGGCATGGATAATAACAAACCCTAGAAACCTCTCATCTCAAAGATCCGCCGAATTCTTCCCGGTTGGTTAATGTTCGCCGATGGCCTCCGCTTGTGTGAATAGTTCGCCGGCGATCCCCTCCTCCCTCAGCCTCTTCAGCCCACGTGCCTCCATAAGCCGCGATGACAACCCGAATCCGAAACCAAACCCGACCCCCACATCGGATCCCTCGTCATCTGGTGATGGACCCGCCAAAGATCTGATCGATTTCGAGTTCAGCCTCCACGATCCAGTTGCCATGCTCACCGCCGACGAGCTTTTCTCCGACGGAAAGCTCGTTCCTCTCCAGATGACGTCATCTCGGGCGCACGCCGAGATCAGGTCCCCGGATCCGATAAGAGCGACGATCAGATCCGAGATCGCGGCGGCGTCGGACGGATCGATCTC